ACTATTGGTTAAGTCTTCTAACAAATGATGATTTGTTTGATATCTTCTTTAATTTAATTAATATTCAAAATCAACAGTTAATTAAAAGCAATCGATATGATTGATATTGAAAGTTTGAGCGTGCTCACGTTACTTTGGATATGTACTTTAGAGTAAAGTCTAATATTTTCCTAAGAATTTCAATAAATGCATGAAGTCAGATATAAAATAGAAGAATAGCGGTTAGCTGAAAGACTATAGTCTCATTGTTAACTGAATAGTAAACCATTGCTTTTCTACCGTCTATGACAACATAGATATATCATCATACAGAGCTTTGATGTTTTATTGATCTAAGTTTTAAATTGTTATCGTTATTATTATTACTTTTCTATGATAAATTGATAAAGACTTTTATCGTTATAATGAAAAAAGAAATGAATGTTATATAACATGAATGACTTTTTTTGTTTCTTACTGATAAAAGAAAGCAAAGAAAGACATTTAGAAGTTAAGGTACTCACTTATATATTTGCTCTGATAATCTTTACAAACATAGAATATTCAATGTATTTGTCTGAAACAGATATTTCAATACTGTCTTAAATGAAAAATATTCAACTTAGTTTTTGTTTTTGTTTTTGTTTAGATAATAGCGAAACAATCATAAAATAATGCCGATTGAAGTTGGTCAACAAGCACCAGATTTTACTTTATACAATACCGAACAAAAAGAAATTTCTCTTAAAGATTTAAGATCAAAATCGAATGTTGTTCTTTTATTTTTTCCATTGGCTTTTACCAGTGTTTGTACGAAAGAATTATGTTCAACTTGAGATGAAATTAGTCAATTTGAAGATTTAAATGCAACTGTTATTGCTATTTCAGTTGATTCACTTTTTTCTTTGGGAAAATTTCGCCAAGAAAATGAAATTCCATTTGATTTATTATCTGATTTTAACAAAGAAATTTCTCGAAAATATGATTCACTTTATGAAGATTTTCCCTTACTTGCTCTTAAAGGTGTTACAAAACGAAGTGCTTTTATTATTGACAAACAAGGAATAATTCGATATGCTGAAATACTTGTTGATCCAACTAAACTTCCAGATTTCGATAAAATTAAAGAAATATTAGACAATTTTAATAAATCATAGAAATTCATTTATGCTTTTCTCCAAAATCCATTGTATTTATTTTATGATTTTTTTCTTTCTGTTTTAAACTAATTTAAATCTTTTTGTTTTTAAATAAATTCTTCTCTTTAATATCTTAAGAATTTTTTTTTAATGAAACAAACATGGGGAATAAAAATAAATAAATGAAAAAACTACATTCGTTATTTTCGAAATTTTGCAAACGCTTCTTGATTATAAAAAGAAAGAAAAAAAGAAAGACTAATCTCACTTAAATACTAACATGCACATTTATTCGGCTTTAGTTACTTAAATATCACCGAAAAATGTTTTATTCTGTTGATGTTGTTTTTGCCTTGAATAATTTAATATCACTTGTCAATTGAACAAAAAAAAATGTAAGAAATGTTTTTTTCTTCAAAAGCTACATGAAAAGAAAAAAGAGATATTAACATCTACGTTGTTTGATTGAAATCAAAATGTTTAATCCTTGTCAATAAAAGACTATATAGACTATATTCAATTATTTCAAAAGAAACTAAAAATAAATCTACAATATTAATATTTAATTCGTCTAATGATCAAATATATATTTATAATGCGACTATCAATAAATCAATATATGCTTTGTTTCATATTCAATGTTGAACGATTATTAGTTATTTTAATATTATATTCTTTCTTTTCATTAAACTGAACAACTTTTCAGGGAAAATTATAGATAGTGCCGTCAACTAGATGAGCACCACAGTGGAGTCAACCTTCCAGAGAAATATTAAAATTCTCTCTTCTTCTACCATCCGTTGAGCTCCGTTCAAAAATGAATTTGATCGTGTTTTCTACAGACATGGTTACAGGGTTGAGCTCCTCTCATCTAGAACTTTGTTTTTTGTTACACTACTAATTTGTTCCACGAATAAAATTTATGTTTCATTTTGCGTATGAGAATCATTATAAGAGTTGTTTTTATATTTCGATACTCTCTTTTGATAATCTCACACCAGAGATGTACACCGCGCCTAAAAAGCGAGGCGGAGGCGGCGCGGAAAGGAGGCGAAAGTCCCAAAATCGTGGTAGAGGCGATCACCACCAGAGAGCTTTTTGGCGGAGGCGGCGCGGCCGCCTGTGCTTTCTTTTTCAACGAGGTGCGGAG